TTCGTGGCTGGCACAGCGCATGGTGAACCTCGAAGTGCAGATTTCGTGGCAGGCACAGCACTTGGTGAACCTCGAAGTGCAGATTTCGTGGCAGGTGCAGCGCTTGGTGAATCTCGAGGCGCAGATTTCGTGGCAGGCACAGCGCATGGTGAACCTCGAAGTGCAGGCACAGCACTTGGTGAACCTCGAAGTGCCGGCGCAGTACTTTGTGCTCTCAGATGCTCACTCTCTCACTCTCCCATTCTCACTCTCCCACTTTCACTCACACTCACACTCCCTCACACTCCATGACTCGCACTCAGACACTCACTTTCACTCACACTCATTCTCATCCACACTCACTCCCACTCACAGTCACTCTCACTCACACTCGCACTCACACTCACACGCACACTCACTCGCCCACACTCTCACTCACTCTCGCGCTCTCACACACACTCACTCTAACTCTCACCCACACTCACTCGCACCCACCATCACTCTCACTCACACTCACACTCACACTCACTCACTCTCACTCTCTCACTCTCACTTTCACTCTCACTCTCACTCTCACCCTCACCCTCACTCTCACTCACACTCACTCACACTCTCACTCGCTCACTCTCTCACTCGCACTCTCACTCTCTCACTCTCACTCACACTCGCGCACGCTCACGCTTACACTCACACTCACTCTCACTCACGCTCACTCTCACTCACACTCACATTCACACTCGCTCACACTCCATTCACACTCACACTCACTCACTCACTCACTCACTCTGACTCTCACTCTCCCTCTCACTCTCACTCTCACTCTCACTCTCTCACTCTCATTCTCTCACCGCGCGCTTTCCAGTTACCGCCCCTTGCTTCTGCAGCTCTTTCTCCTGCTTCAGCTGTGCGTCTGCCTCCTGCCGAATCACACATCGGGCCGACTTTTACGGCTATACACCTTCAAAGATCCACTCTGGAACAAACATCTCTCTAATAAATACCCTACCCTGACAGCGAATACGCTGCTCGCCATCCATGATTGACGTTGCCCCCATTGGCTGGAGGGCTTGCGCAATGGTCGTGGTCTGTTCCATGTCGACACCCTCATGGAGAACCACCTGCCTGCCAGGCGCGCCGCCCTCGCGACAATGAAGCTACATATATTCAATCATCGGTACCTCCACTTGAGAGCTCCTACTCTTCACGCAGCTTCAGCGCGTGCACCAGAAACCCTCCGGACAGTGGCGCGACTTTGAGGACGTTAGCAAAGAGTGGCCCCCAGCGCCGCTTGCATTCGGCTCGAGCCAACATTCTGCTTTCAAACGCTGCGTGCGCCCGAATGATAACGGTTGCCATCTGCACACTCAGCAAGGAGAACACGAGATACACTACACGGCTTGAACTGCAACACCTGCCACTAACCTTTCTCTATCAAAGGCTCCATTCCCCGCAAATGAAGGCCGCCAACGCCGGACACACCCGAAAGCAAAGTGGCCTCAACCCGATCAACCGCTAGCTCCCTAGATTTAGTTCTGCTGCGCTAGGATCGCTCAGCACGCGAACCGAGTTCTTGCCAGCAGTCCTATACATCCCCCGCACGCTCCCTTTGATGCTTTGACTCCAAGGTTCTGAGGCTCCAACTGGAGCACAGTTTCCACGGCCGTGATCTCCTGCGCGCAGCCATGTAACAATATGAATTCGAGCTGTAAGGTATCCGCGTCCCCATTCGGCGTCCAACCAATGAGCCTAGTCCGGGCAACGCGCTTCTCACCCTGTGAGACAACACATATAGCTCACACGCAAGGCGCTTACTCCGTCGAGCAAGCCCCTGCACAGGCGACAAAAAAACAACCTCCCCCAAATGGATGCCTCCTCACTCTCACTCTCTCACTCACACTCACACTCACTCTCACTCTCACTCACACTCACTCTCACACACACTCACTCACACTCAGACTCACACTCACTGTCACTCCCTCACTCTCACTCGCTCACTCTCTCACTTTCACTCTCACTCTCACTCTCAGTCACACTCACACTCACACTCACTCACTCGCCACCACCGCCACCATCGCCTTCATCACCACCACCTCTCTGGACCCCAATGCGTCTAGATCTCTAGACTTTCTGCTGCTACACCTCTTGACCTCACACACACTGTTTGGGGTCTCTTGCCAGGATAATTGTTTTAAGTTAGTTTAGTGCTGGGGGGTCGAGATGGGTGTGATCAATTGTGGGAGGTTACTTGCTTAATCCTATGTTAACATTTTGCCAAAGGGAGCCATGTGTCATTCTCAACGCAAAAGGTGGTATTGGTGGGGGGTAGCATATGTGTGCGTGTATATATATAAATATATAAATATATATATATGTGTGTGTGTGCACGTATATACAAGGAAATTGCAAGACAGACCTCCCAACCACTGGTTTCTGTTCAAAGCGGGGTCTCCCGGTCTCCCTATGTCGCACAAACAGACCATCACGCGGTCAATCTTTCACCTGGCCAGTTGTGCTCCCGCCTTCCTGCTGCTCATACTTCCCCCTGACACTGTAGAAACCTTGGCGCGCTTCCGCACACCAATGTGCGAAAGTGTGCGCGAAAGCGTGTTCTTCTTGGAACCACCGAACCCAACACCGCGACGTAGTCCAAACAGGCAGGTTTCTGGACTTCACGACTCTGCTTTCTCGGGTCAACACTCATGGTCTCCAAGTGGCCAAACAAACCCTGCCAGTCAAAACCGCTCAAAACCGCTCAATCTGCAGCAGTTCCACCAAGGTACACTAAGGTACATGTCTGACGATGCTCACTGGTGACATCGACACGCGCCATATGGCCACGGAGCGCTGGAAGACGGCGCTGAGAGCGCCTTCCGACACTTCGAGATCGACCCCTTCGATAGCATCCTTTTGTTGCGCGCCCATACGCTACCATTGAAACACCCGCCGCATTGGTAGCGGAGCAGAGTCTCCGTTGCCAGGGCCTGGTCCGTGTTGGTTGCCGCAGGTCGACAGCGCTGATCGCCTTGAAGAGGCTTGGATCGCCATCGACTTTTCCATCGGCGCCTCAACTTGATTTCCACCACCTTCGTATCGATTTTGCACATCGAGCATAAGTTGCGTGGTTTCTTTTTTCCTTCTGCACTTCCCGACGACGGGGTCGGGACCTTGCCTTGCACCCTCTAAGATGGCCGACAAGAATGAGCACCACATACCCACCTGGGACGGTCAAGCCAAGACCTGGAGACGCTACAGCATGGTATGTTCGTGGCACTGTTCAGGAGAAGATGAAATACTGCGCCACCTAGCTGATCTCCCGCCTGACCGGCCCAGCACGCCTCTTGGCTATGAGCTGGAAGACCACCGAGTTCGACACGCCCGCTGGAACACAGCTTTTGTTGCAGAAGCTCGCACTGGACAGTCTCCAGACATCCTGAAAGCCACTCGGGGCTTTCTTGAGTTTGATGCGATCACTAAAGTCACTGAAGCACTTCAAACCCTATGCGACGAGCAACTGGCAGGTCGCTGCCAGACCCACTCCGTGGCCTACCAGGAGACGTTCTTCAGTGAGGATGACTACCTGCCGTGTGGTGAATCCCAACCAAGCTGGACGTCAACGCTACAACTGTGGCAGCACGAAGCACTTTGCTCGCGACTCCCCTGACCAAAGTCATCCTGGCTTCAAGGGGAAGGGCAAGATGAAACACTACATGGTTGAGAATGACCCCCACCTGCCTCAAGAGCCAGGGCAAACGCAAGAACCTGTGGCTTGAAGCTCAGGCGGCAGAAAGGCAAACCAAAGGGCAAGGGCATTGGCAACCCCTCACCGGTCGTGAACACCTACAACTCTGAGCTGTACGCGGCCGGCTGGCCTTGAACTTCATGATGCTTATGAGCTGCAGTCCGCAAGCTCTTCCAAGGCCCTTCCGTTCAACAAGGGACTCTTCAACAGTGGAGCCACCGCATCAGCTGCACCGCAGGAAACCCTTGAAGCCCTTGAAGGCCTAATCCAGGCCGCGTTGAAGCAAGATCGCTCAGCTCATGTCGACGTGGCGCAGAATGAGAGACCCTTGCTCAGGTTTGGAAGCGGGAAGTGGGGTCACGCACTCTACCGGGTTCGCATTACCTCGAACGCTTCCGGAGAACCTGGCACTTTTGCGGTCTTTTCCCTGCCGAACCCGGCCGAGTACCACCATCCGGACTTCGACAAGACGACCTTGGCGCCCCTGTTGATTGGGATGGATCACATCAATGGCCCCAGACTGCGATGATCATCGATTTCTCCACTGGTTTGGCTATGGACGCCTACAAAATGAATCCCGACATCTACCAGTTGGAAACCAACCATAAGGGTCACTATGTTTTGGGTGTGATTCACTACTTGACTAAGGGTAACCAGGTTCTTGAGGGGAACGCCGTCGTTCGCGTTCACGAACATGATGTTCACGAGCTTCATCAACAGCAGATTGAAATTCTGGCTTCCCCTCCAGCGTCGCATTGATGGCTGCGTCTTTGGCCTACAAGACCAATGGAGTCGCTTCCTGCAGAAGAAATGGATGATCAAGACCACCAGTGAGAACTTCCACAACCACTTCAGGGCCAAGACCTGCAAGGGTGGACAAAAACTGGTCCAAAGCATTGCACATCTCTGGAGACAAGAACTTGTCCCTGACCGTCAGGCGCGTCTTCTCCGACGACCACCTCTTAAAAACCATGGAGTACAAGAGCTGGAACTACAACCCGCTCTCGCTGAAGGCCCTGAAGAACGACCTGGCGATGAACGCGCAGTGGTGAATGAACCTCCATCCAAGGAGGAAGGTGATGCATGGCTGGACCACCAACGTGGCACGGACCTGCAAAGGTCAGGAAACTCTACCTCACCAAGAAGAAGGTGATCCAAGACGACACATCACTTGGGTCTTGATCGGCTCCAAGCTGCTCCGATGCTCCACTCACTGAGTACGACCTCTGACGGCCACTGAGACTGCGCACTATGAACCCCAATGATCCTGGCGCCTACAAGAGCCTGATGGCAGTACCATGCCACCCATTCGACGTGCCACAGAGAAGACAACACTGAAGCCCGAGGACTACCGCAAGGTCTACAGATCCTCACCACTGGGCATCTCGGAATCTGCATCATCGTCAGCCAAGGTGAAACACTTTGCGCCGCCTTCAGATCCTGCTGCACTATTCCCATGGAAGACGATGAGGAGTACACCCCATCCCTGGGACCACCTGAAGAGGAGGATCCGACGTCTGCTGCAGAACCACCGGGTCCAAACGAGCTCGACTTGAAGAGACTGACGCTACCGTCTCCACCGATGCCAAGGTGAATTCCGAGCTCTATGACCTCAAGTGGATCGAGGCTCTTGAAAGAAGCGCACCAGGAAGTCACTGACCTGAACATCTACGAAGCTCTCCTGGATTTGTCCTTCTTGGTCCGCAAGATCAACGCCGCCGAGGTCAATCTGAAACGGCTGACGCCGATTGAGCAAGCTCTTTTCCGCTTCGCCAAGGGCAAGGAAGTCAATTCCTTCATCAAGAACATCGCCGTCCACAAGTGCCTGAACGACGAAGAAGTTCGGCAAGCCTACACCTCCGGACGCATCGTCCGTGCGAGATGGGTGTTGACATGGAAGGCGATTCCTCCTGATGAACGTGCACTTGCTGCCAAAGAAGCTCTCGAAGAAGGAACTGTTGCGCACCCTGATGGCACAAAGAAGGCGAAGGCACGCATCGTGCTGTTAACGGTTTTGAACACCCCTCGCTCACCGATCCAAAACTCAAGACGGCATCACCAGCGCAGAGCACCTTGGGAAGGTCATTGTTCTACATCCTCTCCGCGCACTACCAATGGCCGCTGACTGGACTTGATCTCACCACACCGTTCCTACAAACTGCACCGACCGAGGCCGATGAGGAACTTTGGACAACCGGCGTGGCCGAACTGGAGGAAGCGCTTCAAGTTCCACAGAATGCAATGCTTCCACAACTGGAGCACGAGGTCATTGGTTTGACCTTCATCGCACCTTGGAAAAGTGCGGAGCAAAGGCTGCCTTGGGAGAACGCTGCCTCTGGCTCTCCTCCGCCGAGAAGGATGCCACTGGACGCTTTCCGCGTCTGATCGGCGCCATGGGAGGCCATGTCGACGATTTCCACAGTGTTGGCGACCCCCACAGTGAAGAATGGCTTCAGGTATGCCAGAAAGTAGTTGATTCCGCCTGCAAGTGGGGCACGATCAAGACGGAGAACTACCGTCACGCCGGCACTGATGTGGTGACTGTGCACCATGCTGATGGAACCTTCTCCATCTCCGTCAGCCAGAACGCCTACATTGATGGCCTGGCTGACCTTCAAATTGATCCTGAACGCCTTCGAGGTGAAGGACAGCTCACAAGCGCGGAGATCAATGAATGCGACCCTTGGAGGACTCCAATGGCTGGCCACTCAACCGCAGTTGAACGCAAGACGCAACCTCCTCATCTCTGAGCTCCTCACTGACTCAACCCTACAGTCCATGGTGATGGAAGTTCGCCGTGACCACTACACCCTGGAATACTTCCGCATTCCAACTGCCGCCACATGGGCAGATCTGGTCTTCATCACCTTCGGCGATCAAGCGCACAACAACAGGCCAAAAGGCGACTCCACCGGTGGGATGATCACCACACTGGCTGGCCCAGAATGCAAAGATGGCCATGTGTGCAAGATGATGCTCCTCCAATGGAAGACTTGGAAGCTTCGCCGCAAGGCGCTGGGGAGCAACGACGCTGAGGTCCAAAGTATGGTTGGGTCGGAAGACATGAACTTCCGCTGCAGGGTGCTCTGGTCAGATCAACGGTGGTGGACACCTTTGACAAAGTGTCCGAGAAGATTTGGTTGAGCAGCAAGCTCGACTGGTGCGAGGGATCCTTTACACGGATTCCCGTGGTGGCTTCGATGCTGTTGAGCGCAATGAAAGCCCTTTGTTAGGTTTGAGCAACCTCAGGGCAGCGCTCCAAGCCTCTCAGCTTCGAGACAGTCTCCAAAGGGTCGGCTCGGAACTTCGATGGCTGGCGTCGGACTATGACAAAGAAGAAGGCCGACTGCCGCGATGGCCTGGAGACCTTCATGAAGACTGGGAAGCGGCGCATCCGCTTCGACCCGGAGTTCAACTCCTACCGCCGCAACAAGAAGAGCGGACACACCGCCAGCAAGAGGTGACTGGACACCACAAGGCCAAGAATGCCACCACCCGTCGCAAGACGAAGACTTGGCTCATGACCAACCACCGGTACATGACCCAGCCCTACATGACTTGAGCACGGGCAATGAGAGTTGGCTTGAGTCGCATTTCTCGCACCACCAGGCATCATCAGAATTCTTTTTGGGGTTGATGCAGCAGTTCAACCAAGGTACACTAAGGTACATGTCTGATGATGCTCAGTGGTGACATCTGGCCCAATCCTAGAGGGGCCCCTTTTGCTTGACACGTGCCATAGGCAACGGAGCGCTGGAAGACGGCGCTTGAGTGAAAAGGCGCTGAGAGCGCCTTCCGACACTTCGAGATCGACCCCTTCGATAGCATCCTTTTGTTGTGAGCCCATACGCTACCATTGCAGCACCCGCTGCAACTCCAATTGGCCAAACAAACCCTGCCAGTCAAAACCGCTCAATCCTTTCTCATCCTTTTTCAATTGACTTCGCCCGTTGCAGTTTGAGATCGCAGAATCCATCCGAATCCATCCTCCCCAGCAGCCTCCCCATATCAACTGCATCTCAGTCACCACTCAAGGTGCTCCCTGCAGACCAAAGCATGCCAACCCAAGCAATCCATTTGAAGTTCATCACACTGGCCAGCATCTCAGCCGCCACGTACCCTGACACAGCACGCATGTAAGGCGGGTGCTACAACCCAAAAAGAGCGTCGCCACGGAGGCCTGTCACGAAATGTTTGCAAGTGCCTCCCGCCCCTGTGGGCTCCTCTCTCTTATTTCATGACCACCCTTATTTCATGGTTGCTCTGCACTCATCGGACCGCCTGCGAGAATGGAGACAGTCCAGGTCAGGTACTTCCCCAACCGGTACTTGAGGCGCATATCCACTGCAAAGGCGCAAGCCATCAAGCCTTCGCCACCCGCGGCGCAGCGCGTTTTTGAGGGGTGCAACCCCATCCGCTGCACCCCGCTTTTGCAACAGCCGGTCACGCAGAAGCCAACTGAACATCAATGGGTGCTCCAATCTTCCTGTATCAACAAGGCTTTTCCATGCTTTTTCCACTTCCCTGTGATGTCTTCGAAGGCTCTTCGTCCTCTGGCCCTCCGTGTTTCCGACCGAGACCGACCGACCCGACCTCGAAAGACCGCCAGCTCGGCCCAAGCATCTCCCGAGTGGAGAACAGCCACCAGGCACGGGAACATGATGAAGAGCCTCTGCGGGAGACGGGACTTGGGATGGCTCGGCATGGCGAGGGAGTCGCTTTGAGTGGAGCCTAGTTTAGGTGACCGGTACGTGGAGGCACGGGGTTGAAGGGTGAGCACGGTGAGAATGGGGACGTGCCGCCACTCCAAAAGCGAACAAGGGACGAAGCGACTCGCGTTCTGAGCTAGGAAACGACAAGGCATAGACAATGTGGTAGGTTCTGGCCTGCCAGATGTTCGATCTTGAGACTGACTGATGCCAGCATGTTGCATGCCGTGCTGGACTCGGCGATATCGAATCTGATTGGAAAGGCACACTCTCTGGCCTCAATGATGCCCTTTCGCACGAGTGTCATCAGTAAAGATGCCAGCTCGATTGCCAAAACCGAGCAAAACGACAGGGAAGGAGTCCCAAAAGCCTCATGTGGCGCACGATCAAATGACGAACGGCACGCCGCGATACGCCGCACTGCTCACTCAGATAGATCTGGGCAGCCTAGTCCCAAAATGAACTGACGAACTGGGGTGGAATGAATGCAGCTTCAGTGACCGCAATCGTTGTCGCTGCAAACTGCGATTTTGCGTAGAACGTTTTGGCAACCTTGCAGAACATCCATCCCGAGGTTTGCAACAAAACACGACATCCTGCTCAGATCCCTTCAGCCTGCTCTGTTGTTTCCGGTGTCCTTTTGGGATATGGCCTAAGCTTGCATGGCAATCGCAGGAGTCCCGCAAAGAAGTGGATTGAACAACTGAGAGTGAAGCATTGCGTTGGTCGTTCTCTCTTCCTTCGCAGCTTCGCGACGACTTGAGCAGAAGAACACCATCTCGAAAGCAAGAGAACTGCAGAATCCACATCTTCAGGGAGATGTTACTTTTCATTCGGGTGCCCCAAAACTCCCCAACTCCAACGAATGTACGACGAACGCGACGAACCTTCGACGAACGCGACGAACCTTCGACGCTGTGCTGTCCGTACTTCCAATCATCTCAGTGGCGACATCGGCCGCTTTGCAAGCAGCGAGAACTAAAGCCACCTGTCGCGCCGTGCACGCCACACGGGCGCGTTCTAGCGCGTGAACGCGCGCGCACGCGAACGCTATGCGAAACACGGCTCAGGATCGTCACCAGGCTTCTACCGAAAATTCACATGCGCCAAGTGAAACCGAGAGGCTTTGACAACCAAGGAGGTTGCTGTTGGCGCTTGCCACCACCATTCTGGAGCCCAAATGCCCAAAGCAGATCCGACCTCGGGCTGATCGGCGCCCAGGGTGTCAACATCGCGTGTCGCGCCGGGTGCGTGGCCAAGTGCCGATAGGCGAAAATCGCGTTGTGTACCCGGAACTCCCTGGGGACCGAAGGACCGAACCACCCCCCGCCCAAGAACGAGGAAAACGGAAGAGAGGCGGGGTGCTCTTCGTGCTTTCGGAAGATTCGGCGCAGCTCACCTCCAAATCATTGGTTTGGTCCAAATCCGGTTCCTGCGGCGTTATAGGAAAAAAGGAAGCACTGAGTAGGAAGCGCTTAAAGGAGCATACGTTGAAGCATACATGCCGAAAGAAACTCGGAGCGCTTCGCTCCTTGGCAGCTCAAACTGAAAACTCAACACCTTGGCTGTCCAACGTGCATCAACTTTCACGACAACTTGCTTGCATGACAACGGTGGACTCAACAATTCATTTGAAGGTGCAGAATCAAGCTTCATCCAAGCTGCATGCAAGAACACGTGTACCAAAAGGCTGGCAGCTGACCAATATCCCGGCGAAAATGACTCTCGCCTCGCAAACATGTCATACCACGAGTGCACTCTTCCCCTACCAGCGCCTTCTTCGTTTAATGGCCCCTTTCCGTGTGTCTTGCCATGCCTTCCCCGTTCCTACAGACTGGACAAACACCCTATTTCTCTCGTTTGAACACGCACGGCGCCAACGGGCCCCGGTCACCACCGCTCCACACGCCAAGGCACTGCTCCACCAGAAGGGTGTAGAATCCTCCGTCATCGACCGTTGCGGGCCGTGGGAACTGTTGTTACTTGGGTGCATGGGAGGGATGTGTTGAGTCGGCAGACCTAGGACCATCAGGTCCAAAGCCGACTCAAAGCCAATTGCTGGTCTCCCCGATCGAATCCCATGTGAAGAAGTCTTTTCCGACCTTCCTGGTTTCCTTGAATCAGAGAAAATGCAAAACGTGTTCCAACGTGTTCCACCCTGCTTTTTGCATTGTTGTCCTGAATTCCTTTTTGGATGGGCCTCCGAAAAAAGACTCGTTTTTTGATACATCGCCCGGACCGTCCGGCCCAGACTGTCCGAAACACTGCAAAAAGACGAGGCTCGGTAGGCAAAGTGCAGCAAGGCCAACAGTCCGAGGATTGCATGAGAATGGTACCTGTCCAACAGCTGGAGAGCAGCGGACGGACAGGCTCATGAAGGAGTCCCTGTCGCACTGCACATGGGGGACGTGAGGAACGACGCGGCTGACCTTTTTGGGCAATCCTTTGGTGGGTCAAAGTGTAGGTATCGCCTGAAAAATACACCCTCAAGCAGTTCTGAGCGCTGTCTGACCACAAAACTGCTCCGACTTCACGAAGAAGTAGCGTTTTAGCATGTTTTATGCGTGTTTGCTTTCTGTTCAACTCGTGGACGGTTTCGTCGGAAAACCCTTACACTGCTACACTCCCTGCAAGAATCATGGGCCATGGTGGATGGGAAAATGGCCCCGAAAGGATGACCATGGCCTCTCAAAACCAAACACAGGTGGTGAACTTCCATGATGGTTTCAGGGACGGTATGGACACAACCCTTTTGGGGGAATCTGATTTGACTCCCGTCACACGCGCGCCTGTCATGGTGGGAAAACAGTTTCGCCATGGCGACGGGCACTCTCACGAGGAACGTTCGAGCAGGACGTAATTTGAAGAAGTGAATGATCTTTGGTTCTATTTCAGCCACGTCTGTTTGAATCATCTTGCCATGCCCATGTCTTGAGCCAATAGCTTCCTCGCTTCAATCTCAACAAATCTGAGCTGCACCAAAACGCTTGTTGCCAAACCTGCGGGTCAGACCACTCGCTCGGCTTGGGCCTCGATTTCTCGACTTTTCCAAAAGGCCTTGCGCAAGCCGTCGTTCGGATACATCCGTTCCATTTGCCGCTTGCTCAAGCCTCGTGTCTCGGTGAATTCGGAACTGTGCAGAACAGCAAAGCGGTTAACAGTTAACACGCTCTGCATCTGCAGGGAATTCTGCACCGAGGATCCAGCAGGTTTCCCCAAATCGGATGATGTTGAGCTGGTCATCCACGCCCATGATTACAAACTGACTTGCATCGTTCACCTCCGATGAAAACTGACACAAACAAAACAGAAGCCAACCTGTCCTTGTTCCTTAGTCGAGGAAAGAGAGAAAGAAAGCCAGATCTCAGCCTGGCAAAGAGACCCCGCTTTGAGCTTGTGTTCGAAGTAGTTCGTGTCCTTGGGTTGAGCCCAGCAAAAGCACCCGGGGAATCCAAGAGGCCTAGCTGGCGCGCCTGAGTGTACTCGAAAATGTATTCCTTCAAGGGCTGCTTGTAGGAGGACCTCAACACAAATGAAATGCCAACCCCAGTCGCAAGTTCCTCCCTTCCAAAAAAAGCCAACAGGCAACATTGAAGATGCCGAACTGCAAAAAGCGATATTTTTAAAAAAATAAGAAAAACGATCCAACTATATCCAACTCACCCATTTTCTCATAATTAATGTAGCCTCTTGAGTTATAAAACCCTTCCATTTGGACTGCAATACCTCATCATCTGGGGCTCCTTATTCATCAGTAGTCTACATTACATTCCCCATTTCGGTGAGCAAATCGGCCAAACCAACGACCCGGTCGTCATCCGTGCGCGCCCGGTCTTCGAAAAAACAGGCGCGTGAAGGACCGGGTCGGGTTCACCCGGTGGGGCGCGGACCATCGTTGGTGGTCGGGCATCTTCGCGGCATGATGCTCGGGACGAAAGGACCACTGCTGGAAGTCCTGGCGCCGCGACGCACGCGGCCGGGGTCCACGCGGCGAGCGGAACCGGCATCGCGGAGCGAACTGAGCAAAAGGAGCAAAGGACATCGCTACGAACGTAGCTCCTCGCATCGCTACTAGTAACAAGAAGCTACTAGCAACAAGCTTCGGTGGGCCCACCTTCGGTGCGACCGCCCGGACATCGACTCCGGAGTTTTGGTCGAGTCCATGCGCTGAGCTCCGAGCATCTCCGAGCTCCGCTGAGCTCCGCTGAGCTCCGCTCCTCGGTCTGAAAGAAGTGGACAATCCTTTTCAAGTCGGCCCATGACAAAGAGGGTCTCCTCTGAAAGAGCCTCGCACCCAACACATCGGTCGCAAGAAACACACATCGGTCGGCGACGGAAAAAGAAAGGGCGGAAAATGCGGAAAATGCATCGATGGGGTTTGGTGCCTCAGGCAAACCGTCTGCCACTTGCATGCCAGATTCAACCACCACAACCTCGGGCCAGAAATGGCAGTGAACCACTGTTGGGCCATCGTTCGATGGCCGTGTTTGGCCATCAAGAAACTCTCTTGATGTTCAAGACGAAGTAGATGAACTTGTTCCCTAGTGGAAAAGGGACAGCTTAAGAGCGCCTTGGAGCGTATTGGTGGTCATATCAAAGGAACCAAGGAACCGACATTCTAGAGAGTATCAACGCAAAGCGACAATGATGTAGACCCAAGATAGAGACAATAAGCTAATAGCTACTAAATAGACCCAACTCGTCCAAAAGCAGCCCACAAAAGGCGCCCCCCGCTTTTAGCCACAAGAAGCACCTCATGCAGCCACTGGAACAAATCAAAGGTGGTCGAAATCTTCACCGGGCATCTGTCCACAAATGGCCTGGGGAGCGGCTGAAATGTGCCAAATCCAACTCCGAAAACACGGGGTCAAAGGTCCGACCAAAACAACTAAGCCAGTCCTTGGGTCCGAGGATGTCCGACAGTCCTTGGGTCCTGTTGAGCCACATCAATGAGCACATTCTATCAAGCTTTAATTGAGTGGTCCGCCAAAACAGCTAGGCTCTCCGCAGGAACCAGGCGAGCCAACGTTCCTTCTGGTCAGGCCTTATCAGCTTCGAAACAACCGGCTCAGTCAAGCTAGCTCACAGGCATCAAGTGCTGGAGATGAGTTACGGAAAAACTTGACGGGTCAAGAACCGATGCGTTTTCTCCAAGAAAAAACACCTCGCTTGGGGTACGTACTACAGTAGACGTTACGTGCTCGTTCACACCACCACATCCACATCTGTCCCTTCCGCACTCTCCATCGGCCTCACGACGCCCATCTCCAGGAGGCATGGCAAAAGGGTCTCCTGCGGCCGGCGACCCACCGCGACATCCCACCGCGACACGCCCTCTCCGCCCATTGCGCGGCGGCCGCCCTACCCAGCGCAACGCCCTCGGATGAAAATTTCAAAGATGTACAGTATGTGTCGACCATGTGTCCATTTGCTATCACTGATCTCATTCTCCAGTTTGGGCGAGTTGATGGAGTTGGTGTTGAGTCCAACATCCCAAGCATGGCGCCTGCCATGGAGCATCTAAGCCCTGCTCGTAGATGGCATGCAGCTCCGACTTCACGAAAGCAGCCTCGGAAGGTGCGGATTCTCTGTCTTTTCACGCACCAACCTCTCTCCGTCCATCCTTCAAACCATCGGCGCCTCGAGGAGCTGCGAACCAAAGATCTGATCTCCGCATTCGCCCGTGACGGTGAGGCGCGAGGCTGGCCCTTCCCACAGTGCCGTGACCTCCTGGACGGGACCGGCGGAAAAGGACACCGCCCGTGGTCGCGCGCGGCGAGGGGGCGGCGTCCGTCCGCCGTCGAAGAATGACGGGAACTCCTCAGAGTCGGCTAAGGGCTCCAGGTCAATGGCACCAGCGCCTTGTAGCTTTAAAAGCACCTGCTCATGAAACCTGAGGAAGCTTCGGAAAGTCTCTACGAAGGAAAGAGATGAAAAGGCTTCGCGAACTAAGGACGCTGGCCACGGGTATTCTGCAATGGAGTCAGCACTGCATCTCACGATCATGCGATCGCTTCCTGACCAAAAAAGAAAGTCGCTTCACGACATGGTGTTTCTTCACTCCGAAGCTATCGAAGCTGTTGAACTCACAAAGGCTTTGAACTCGGGGTGTCACATGGTGTCACTCTGAGGGTCAAGTGTAGACTCACAGGGTTTCTGGTGGATTCGCAGGGTTTCACGGTCCACCGTGAGAGGTGCGATTCAGAGAACACCGAAATGTGCTGTGTTTGCTTTTTGACTTTTCTCACTTTTTGACTTTTGGCGTTTTGCTTGGTGTCTTGCAAATAGAACGTCGCTAAAGGATTTAGCGAGCTTCGGAAAAAGTTCATGGGCGCCTTGAGGGTCAAGTGTTCCTCTGCATCTTCCTTCGCCTTCGCCGGGCCGCCAATGAGGCTGTAAGGCTCGCAAGAAAGCAATCAGAAGTGATGTCGAGTCAATTCCTGTCGAGTCGGGCACGACATCAGGACTTCGTTTTAAAAGATGCATGCAAAAAGCTGGATCTTGAGGAGGGGCACACCTCCACTCCACAGCACCTCCACCTTGCAGTTGCTCGCTGCAGCCAAAGAAAGCAAGGATTCAGCGCGCTGATCCATGATCTTGGCTTCCAGATTCCAGCTCACTTGAAATCACTTGCAGGGGGGCCTACTGGGTCGCGCAGCTTTTCCAAGCCTTTTCCATATGGCCCTAAAGAAAGAACAAAACGATGGCCTCCTATGTCGTCTTTCTTCAAGATATAACGGATACGCGAATACATTCAATTCAATGGATGTCCGAAATGTGTGGGATCTCTACTTAGTAACTAAGATACGCCCAAAATGGACACAAAAATCATGTGAAATCAGAGCCCAGGGGCTGTGGCCAGATCTTTGGAGAAGGCTTCATCCATGTCAGGAATGGGATCCAATACAGCTAGACGAAGGCTGCACTCCTGCCATCGCACCGGATCCGATACAAGCAGGTATACGGTAATACGGTATATACGTGTACCATCTTGTACCCATCTTCCGAGCTACTTTGAGGGTCAATGGATCTTCTTTGTTCTTTGTTTTCATGACCACAACACTGCTGATGCATGTTGACCCAGATGGTGGGGTGGCTGGGATCAGCAAACTAGAACCAATTGTGCATGGTTCTTCCATAGAAACCACTGGAGTGTTTCTGGCGTTCATCTGTACCCCACCAGGCCCTGCAGGCCCTGCAGGCCCTGCAGGCCCTGCGCCATTTCATTCCAATTCGTCAGGCGACTCTGTGTCTTCAAATGCGTCTGAGTGATTAGAAGGCCCCAGCCCTAATTCCGACCTCCGACTCATTGGACCACAGACGACGGCCAACGATTACCGACGACGACCACCGATGCGACGACAGCCGAGTCTACCTGATTCAGGAGGCCCGTGCGGTCCACCAGAGGCGTGCGGAAGAAAGCGGAGAGGCCCACCAGAAAATCCTCACAGAAAAAATAAAACACGAAAAGAAAACATCAAAATTATTCTAAATGTGATTTACTGTTTGTTTTTTTTGCATCCTTTCAGAATCCTCTTGGATCTGTTCTGGTAGTAGACTTGCAGGTGGTCGAGCTAGGCTGCTTTCCGGCGACAAATAACAAGCCAACAGGGGGCACCAAAGAATCAATCCGCTGCCCAAGTCTGTCTCCACGTTCTCCACCTGTCTGTCAAAATTCAAGATAGCACCCGTTTGAGTGTGTATTAAAATAGGGAGACCCCCCAAAGACCGTTAAACCCATTGGTTGCAGACCTCCTTACTGCATTGAAATACACATCCATGTATACATATATATATATGGCAGAAAGCTGGATACCAAGGTGCTCAAACTGCAAAAAGGATAGTTCACATTGCGCCTCAACCGCTGGAGGAGATCATGAGGGTTCACAAGATATCACGAGATATCCAGTGTTGCAATGGTGTGACGCGACAAGGGTTTCAGCAACCTTTGAGCGACCCACGCACACTCGGGATTAGGGTTCGTACCAAAGCCGCCAAATGCCTAGAAGAAGCCTAGGTGAAAAAATTGTCTGGGTAAACCAGGAAAGTGTAAGGCGGCTTGACGATTTCCTTCTGCCCAGTGTCCCAAAGTTTCAAACTCCAAAGTTTCACGGCTCGATGCGGTCGAAAGCAAGGAACACTTGTCTGACTGTAGAGTTCAGAACCGATGCAGGTACGCGAGGGTGATGGTCGGCCCTGATATCCTCCCAAATTCATAAGTAGCTTCGTTGGCAGTAGATTCATGAGTCACATGAGTGGGCTACTGCCCCCTGCTTATTGTAAACAATCAACACAAAGACCAAAGGTCCCCGCTGAATCCAAAGCTTACACACACACGTCCCCCACAAGGGGAAGCAATGAATAAACTAAGGCCCTAACTGACGCGCGGAGGACAACACGAGACAAAGGTATGTGGTTGCGATGAAAGGGGAACCAAGTGCACAGGGACAACCGAAAAACCTGGGCGACCTGAAACCTAGTTTGCATGTACGAGCGCACGTACACATGGAAAGGGATGAGATGTCCCGAAGGCATGAAAGACATGAAAAGAAAAAGGAAGAGAAAGTGTGTGCGGGGGGAAGCCAAAAGGAAACCAAATGAAGGGGCCAGAAAGGGACAAAGCCAAGCCTCATTGAAACAATCCTAGGTGAACCTCGCCTAGTTTAAGTAGGTCGGCGCATGCTGTGCGTGCACCTAAGGTCGTGACCTTGGTGGACTACGGCCGCTGCGGCCTACCCGCGCCGTGCCAAAATGGCTGGCTACTGCTCCCGCTGCGGGCTACTCCTGACACGAAGTCTGCTCAAGCACATTTCAAGGTCCAAGGCGTTTATGTAGTCTAAACTGACGTTTGGCACAAGCCTACCCCGTCCGCTGTGGACAACTCCGCTCTCCGGCCGGGAGAAAGGGACAAGCCCCTGCTCAGCAAGGCCACAGGGGACACTCTTCGGGTACACCCTGGGCTGGCTTAAAGACAGACACACTCGGGATTAGAGTTCGCACGAAGGCCGCCACATGCCTAGAAAAAGCCTAGGGGAAAAACTGCCCGAGTAAGCCAGGAAAGTGTACTGTAAGGCGGTCTGACTGTCTCCTTCTTCCCAAAGTGTCCCAAAGTCTCAAACTCGAATTTTTCACGACTCGATGCGGTCGAAAGCGACGAACACTTGTCTGACTGTAGAGCTCAGAACCGATGCAATGGCTGGCGAGATTGTTCTAGTTAAAAGCAGGGACCACAAGAAGTGGACAACTGCAGGTACGTCAGGGTGATAGTCAGCCCTGATATCCTCCCAAGCTCATAAGTAGCTTCTTTGGCAGTAGACTCATGAGTCAGCTACTGCCCCCTGCTTATTGTAAACATTCAACACAAAACCGGTTACACACACACACACACACGCCCCCCAACAAGGAAAAGCAAAGAATAAACTAATTAAGGCTCTAACTGACGTGCACGTGTGCGCGCAAGAGGGACAAAAGAGAAGACGTGAAAGGAGGACAACACGAGACAAAGGTATGTGGTTGCGATGAAAGGGGAACCAGGTGCACAGGGACAACCGGTGAGCCTAAAAACCTGGGCGACCTGTTTACATGTACGAGTGCACGTATACATGGAAAGGGATGAGATGTCCCGAAGGCATGAAAGACATGAAAAGAAAAAGGAAAAGAAAGTGTGTGCGGGGGGAAGCCAAAAGGGAAACCAAATGAAGGGGCCGGAAAGGGACAAAGCCAAGCCTCATTAAAGCAAACCTAGGTGAACCTCGCCTTAAGTCCCCCAAGATTCCAACAGTTTCATGCGCGCGCGCGCACACACACACACACACACTCACGCACCTCAGTCTCTTCCATCATCGCATCCATCTCTGCAGAGATTGAGTCATCCCTCCGTTTCCATCGCTCTCCCAAGCTCCGATTCTCCAGTGCTCGCAGCGTGTTCTGCGTGGTGCCGTCGTGTTCCGCGTTGACGAGTTCTCGCCAGTGCGATTGGCACTGCTCGGCGGTCTTTTGCACCGAGAAGCTCTCGAGGTGTTCTCTCACAGCATCCCAACCCAAGTATCCCACCTGCTTCACTGACACTCTCAAGGATTCAGAGTCTTCAGGATCCCAGAAACAATGCCGCACTACCGGCGCATCTTCCAGCATCCAGGGATCGCTAATGCGCCGGCACAAGCGATCAGGATTCACTTTCAAGACTGGGCTTTCATCCGCCAAGCGTCGAAGAGGCCTGGAGGGCAGCTGCTGCACCATTTGCTTGTGGGGGCCGCAGACCAACCTTCCACACATCAAGCAGGTCGGATGCAAGTCCTTTTGGGGCGAAGGCCAATGTCCAGAAGACCACATGATCTCCAAGATTTCCGCCCATATCGCCTCCTGTACACCCCCTCGAGCCAACCGATGGACGATTTGACCTAGGCTTCGCCAAAAGATCTCAGCCAGAATTAGAGCAGACTGCCCTGTCATGCAACATGCCACAGGTCCCTACCAGCCTCCAAAGAACACCAATGGTAGTGAAAGAAAGCAACAAAGCAAAATGTCAATGAGAAAAAGATTGAGTGCCACATTGTGACAGTGTCTTGGATCTTCAGCCCCATGGTGCTGTTGACTTGTGCTAAAGATACGGCTACTACAGGAAATCGTAAACCGCGGTCAAGTTGCTGTGTCTATTCAAGTGAAGAATCTTGGACATGCTCTCATCAGTGCTCGCATGAAGGACCACGAGGCAGCATGGGAAGTCGAGAACCTCACAAGAAGCCACTGCTGGAGTTGGCACAAAATGATTGTTGCGCAAGAATAAATTGGTTTGGGTTGGTTGGTTGGTTTGGTGCCACCACAAAAATCTCAGCATTCTTGATGTATTCCAACATTTCTCTAGTCTCAGTCATCTACAGCATTCTATAACTACATCCTGTCTCCCAAGCCTGATTTCTTTGGTCAAGAAATGTAGATTCGACGACATCATCGCACACATCCCGGAAGTGAGACTTCGCGTACTTCAGGAAGGGGCTGATCACACTGGTACCTCACGCAGGAGATGGCATGAAAGCATATGATACCTCCCCTTTTGCAGTCCATCAAGGTACCATCGAACAAACTCCACAGCCACGCTGTAGCAGCTACTGCTCCCTGGGACGCGAACGCCTCCGCTGGCAACTTTGCTCAAGAGCAGATTGCAGCACTGACAGGAGCTGCATTCGCATTCCATCTCAGGCTTCACAAGATTCTTCCAAAAAGTATCTTGCAAAGTGTTCAAGACGTGGGCACAGCTGCTCTACTTGCTTGAGAGAAGTCAGAAATGCATCATCCAACTGCAGGAAAAACATGATGTGCTATGTTAAATAATGTGGAAAACATGACCAGCGCGACAGTCCCGAGCAGCTTTTCACGTCAGCCAATCAGCATGACGGTTTGGTAAAAAGTACTGCAACAATCTCAGCGGTAGTTGCCGTTGTTGATGCGGTCAATGAAGTAGGCAGGGTTCGCCGGCAGGCAAACCAAGTTGCCCTCGTACTTCTTGACAATGTTCTTCAGCTTGTCCTCCATGCCAGGGATGCTGTAGATGTCAGAGACCTGCTTGTAAGGGCCATGGGTGCCGATCAGGCCAGCAATGGTTGGGAACATGCCCGGGAATTGCCTGTAGGCCTGAATGTTGGCATTGTTGATGTCGACCTTGTCGCTTCCACCCAGGTACTGGATGTTGTCGTAGTCCACCATGGCATTTGCTGCAGGAGCCATAGCAACGGCAGAAGCTGCGGCCACGGAGGCAATCTGTTGCTTCCTGGAGTTCAACCATCCCAACAACGCACCAGCACCGAAGCCGGCAGTCAAGACGCTGAAGACGCTCTGCGACTGGCTAGGCTCTTCCATGTCCAGTGCCTCAAGTTGCACTTGAGCGGTTGGGAGCTGCACACTCTGTGGGGAGG